TACGAGGGGGGGGCGCGGTGAATCTGTTAACAAGAGCTATCATCCGACTGCAGCTTGTCCTGCGCGCGTGAATTACCGTAATATTTTAATGTTCAGTCGCCAAGTCTAAATGTTAAATATAGAGCTAAATGTAGACTCTACATTTAACATTTAGATTTAGATTTAACATTTAGATATAACATTTACATTTAGATTTAACATTTAGATATAACATTTACGTTTAGATTTAACATTTAGATATAACATTTACGTTTAGATATAACATTTAGATATAACATTTACGTTTAGATTTAACATTTAGATATAACATTTACATTTAGATTTAACATTTAGATATAACATTTACATTTAGATTTAACATTTAGATATAACATTTACGTTTAGATATAACATTTAGATATAACATTTACGTTTAGATTTAACATTTAGATATAACATTTACGTTTAGATTTAACATTTAGATATAACATTTACATTTAGATTTAACATTTAGATATAACATTTACATTTAGATTTAACATTTCGATTTACATTTAGTTGTAACATTTATATTATTTAACAACTTTGTTACTGCCAAACATTATCCTTGGAAATGTTATTGCATGAATGTACACGAATTGTCTCTAAATGTTTGAAAAAGTGACATGTAAATATTGTCCTGCTTTTTTGTGCACATGACGCAGCATTATTAAGAACACATTCAGGGTTACAAACCAACAAGGTGCAAGGTGCAGAAGAACTGCAATGTCACTGTAAGATGTTCCACAGACCTTGTGCTCCTGGAGGAAGTACTTCAGACAAATAACCACTACCAGAGTGATTTTTAAATGAAGAAAAAATGAGTTATTCTCCTGTGTCATCGCCCACTGAGGTAACTTGAACAACTAAAAGCGTCCCGGGAGGAGAAACCGGTTTCTAAACAAAAACCTGACCGGGTCTGAGTCTTTGCCACCAGTTGCTTCTCGTTGTGGTCTTGTTGGTTTCCTCCTGTTACACGTTCCCCTTCCTTCTGCCTGTCCCGGCCTCAGGTCCGGCCTCGTGGCCTCCATCTTGTAGGATGGCTGCTGCCCCTTAAAGGGGACGTAGCACCCATCGGCCACGTGGCCCCGTGCGATGCCACAATATAGCAACACGTTTCCCTCACTGCTCACAACGAGCTCCGTGGAGAGTCTTTGGTATCGGGTCCTTGTTCTGGGTGAAAGTCTTAAGGGCTTCACACGGGTTCTTTTTAGAGCTCTGAGCACCACAAGCTGAGTTCCATCGGACCCCTTTTTGTTTGAGACACTGCATCTCACACGTAACATACAAGGAAATGTAAGAAAAGAGAAAAATATAGATACTAGCAATCAATTTTTCATCTCTTTTGTACATTTACACTATGAGGTGTTGTTAACATTTAAGGTCTTCAGAGCGACTTTCAGCCACTTAATAATACAATAAATGAATAAAGCAACATTTGTGTGAGTTGACAGCTTGTTTGTGTTGTTTGTGTCCTGCAGTGAATGTGAGGAAGACGTATGAAGAGCTGCAGAGAGGACATATTTATCTACATGTTAACAGGAGGACGTCACACTGCAGCCTTTCACTTAATGTGAATTATTACAGAGAATGAAGAGACGTTTATGCTGCTTACAGGTTCATCAAGATGATCTTCACATATTAACAACACTTTTAGGATGTTTCCTTTTAGCAGAAGTAAGACGTTAACATTAAAGCAGCTTCTTGTTCTGCAGCTCATGCATACTAATGACGGAAAGAGGAAGGAAGCTCTGCTGGGTGTTGAACAGCAGCTTGTTACCAACTCCAGAAGAGACGAGCTGACCTCAGAGACATCAGCCTCCTCTTTAATGTAGACGTGTTTCTGGTGACTTACTGAATAAAGAGTTTCTGATCTGCTGATTGAACACAGAGGAGCAGCTATGAGTCCATCAGCCGGTGGATTAGTCGTCTTCCTTCTCTCTGTACAAGGTACTGTACTTCTACATTTATATTGTGAGGCCGTTACACACCTCACACACACACAGGGAGCTGTGTTTTTACTTCACACACAGGTCTGATGTCATCACACACAAATAATGACTAAATGAACATTAACAAAGAAGAAATGCTCTGAATAATTTGTCTCTGTTGAACTTCCTCTAATCGTTCAGCAGCGTTTCTTTGCATTAGACCACATTTAGAGGCTGTTATTCACTCCGAGTCTCTGACGACGTTTGTTCTTCTTTTTGGAGCATTTTATTGTGTATTTGTGGTCATTTTTATTCTCTTCCTGGTTGTTCAGTGTCTCTTTGAGGGACATTTTGCAGCTTTGATCCGTGTCACAGATAATTGATTCACTGCCGGATGCTGAAAAGTCACATTCTGTGGTTTTAGACAAATAGATATTGTTTTGGAAAATTCTATTTCTTATTTTTTGTTGACTTTTGAAAGCCAGTCGAGTCTTAAAACACTTCTTATCAGTGACGTGTGATCTAATCAGCACATAAATGTCACGTTAGGGGGGAGGTGTGAAAATGTGCGTTTCCGTGCCGCCATTTTGTCAAAAATTGACCAAACATGGTCATTTCCTTGTTTTTTAGGTGTGTGCGTGTAAAATAGTAAGATGTGCCCTCACACACACACACACACACACACACACACACAATATATTCAATTTCAGACAAAATGGCGGCCAAATTGCCTGAACAGACACACGTGTATTTTCACACTTTCCCCCCAAAGGTGCCGTTCATATTCTACTAATCTATATGTCACAGTATCGTTCCCCTCAGAGTTCTGCATTTCTCTACAGTTTCCATCTCCACTCTGCAGCAGACTGACCACAGACAGAAGAGCACAGAGCAAAGACACTCTTCTTCTCATCAACCAAACCCTTCTAATACTTCAACTTGAGCTTTTTCAGGTCCACAGGTTCAATACGTCGCTGTTCCTTCCAGCTGCAGAGTCCATGTGGACATCGTGGACTCTTTCATTACTTTCTATAAACTCAATGATTTTCATATTTCTCATAATATCTTTTCTCTTCAGTAAACTACCAATGAGAGTGTGTCCTGTGATGTTGTTCTGAGTGTGACTGTGGTTCCTGATGTGCTGTGTTACAGTGATACAGAGTCAGGATGGATGGAGAGTGGATTACTTCAAGACTGACATCTGTAAAGCAAAAGGATCACAAGTGTATATAAGCTGTGAATTCACATACCCACCTGGAAAACATTACTCTGATATAAAGGACAGATTCTGGTTCACTAAAGAGAAAGATGGTGAACCTGTGGATCTGACAACAGACTCTGAGTATTCAGGCCGTGTGACGGACACATGTAATAGTTTTACTAAGACTTGTTCTCTGATCATCACAGACGTGAGAGAGAGCGACTCAGCTGAGTACAAATTCACATTGATGACAAACAAACCAGGAGAGAAATATACTGGTTCACCTGGAGTCACTTTGTCTGTCACAGGTAACATTTTAATTCACATATTAATCATCTACAAATGTTCAACATCTAGAAAACTAGAGTATAAATGTCTTCTGTGAATGTTGACACTTTAATAAATAATATTCACTGATTCAGGTCTCCAGGTGCAGGTGAGAAGATCAGATTCTACCTGGTTGGAGCTGACGTATCACAGCAGCTGTGTTCTGTCTGATCGTGGTGAATACGAGTGGTCCAAGAATGAAGAGTATATCGAGACAGGATCTTCTCTTCTAGTCTCCTCTGGTTCTACAGACAGATATTCCTGCTATTTAAGAGGACCTACTGGTCAACGTTCTCCTGCAGTGTGTAAGTTCACTCCACTGTGTCGGCCTGTGGAGCTTCACCAACATCTCACATGGAGGCACCAGACCGCTGCATGTAAACTAGAGGCATCAAAAAGATGAAGCACAACGTTCCTCAGGAGGTGGAGCCGTGGTCCACTGACCAGAGGGTTGCTGGTTCAATCCCCGGCCCCTGCAGTCTACGTGTAGAAGAGTCACTCACACACTGACACAACAATATGATTCTAATCACAGCTGTAAACACACTGGAGTCTAAATGTTAAAGGAGACACAGATCTTTATTTATGTCATTCTCTTATTAATAGAAACACAAATATAAACTATCAGCAGACAGAATAATGTGATTTTCATAAAGACTCAAGTGAATTATTCCAGAACATAAGTAGAAGTGACGTGTCAGCTGGTGGAGGAAACAATCAATAACTCCTACAACAACTAGAAGTGAGAGGACAGACTCAGCTAAGGACACAAGCAGCATCTAAAGAGAAGAATGTGTGGAGATATGAACATTACAAAGGATTAAAGGCTGCTTATTGTCACTTTACACCAGCAGGAGTCTCACCTGTGACAGCTGCTGTGATGAATACTAGAGATAGTCTGAGAGAAAGACACACAAGTATTCATTCAAATGATCAACTATCTACGCTAACATCTTCTAACCTCTTAGTATGTTTATTCACGTCTCCTCCAGATGGTCCACAGCGTCCCTCTGTGTCAGTGAGTCCCTCTGCTGAGATGATGGAGGGCGATTCAGTGAATCTGACCTGTAGCACTGATGCTAACCCAGCAGCTAACTACACCTGGTACAAGGAGCATGAAGACTCCCCACGAGCATCAGGACAGATCTTCACCATCACTGACTTCACAGCTGAACACAGTGGGAATTATTACTGTGAAGCCCAGAACGAGATGGGACGTAGTAACTCCACCTTACGTCTGATTACTTCTTCAGGTAAATCACACTCATTCTTCTGTTCACTCACACATTACATCAACAATCCAGCTAAAGAAGTGACTCACAGTTAGGGTGACCAGACGTCCTCTTTCTGAGACCTAATTAATGCGTCCGGCATTTTGCTTCGTCGGATATTTGTGTTTCTGAGTCTTTCACAAACTAGTTATTCCGCCCTCACAAGTGGTGTAAATGGTGTCTCCCTTACGCTCCACCTTCCTGCGCGAGCTCTGACTGTAGAGAGAACAGTCACTGGTCGACCGATCGCCATGTTGCCAGATACACGATAATTATCCTCCACATACGACCATTTTGAGCCTTTGGTACGATACTTGACCATTTCCAATGTGGCAACACTGAGCACCTTGCCGCCTCCACTAGTTGCTTTGTTTACAGCACATGACATCTGCATCTCTTCTTTTAATATGTGGCCGTATAAAAGAATTGATTATTTAGAATTTTGTTATCATCATTGCTTTAATAAATGGACCAGACACATTAAAGAAGCGCCGGACTAAATGCCAGAAGAGAGATTTGTTTTACATTTGCACTTTGCAGTTTTGTTAAAGTTCAATAAATAGATGTTCATATAGTCATGTGTGACCTTTGTATGCAGTCACAATGTCATGGTGCGGCATGCTATACGTTTTCTGAGGTCCCTGTTGGGAAAAGTCCTTTTCTTTGTCCTGTTAATAAAAAGATGAATGTTACATGTGAGCAGCCTAAATAAACAACGGCGTGATGTTTGGAGCATTCAGGACACCTCGAGGTTTACAAGTTGCTCTCCTGCTGCTTGTTGTGACCGTTTACATCACCACACAATCACGTTCACACGCACAAACACAAACGAATACTTGCTTTCAACATGTAGAGCTCAAGAGAGTGAGTTCTTAATTGCACCACATGTCATTAACATACAAGTCTCACATTGGACATGAGCTTTTTTTCAGCGCTGGATTCTCTTCCTGAGCTGCTTGGTTGTCGCTTTGTGACTCTTCTGTCGCTAACTTGGGGATAAAGAGGACGTCTATGCAGCCATAGATATTATATATAAAGGCTAGATGTCTTTGGTTTGTTATAAACATCAGAGATGTAGTTATGACACTGCACACGTATGAATCATGTTCTGTTTAATATCATTTCCGTATGAAAACCCATGGTCACAATTATTCATAAGTACGCAGTGTCATAACTACATCTGTGTGCAGGGAGCGGATTTCAACATGCATCTTGTACCTATTTTAGAACATTATTCTATTTGTTAGAACATAACATCATTTTGTATTATATATATAATAATTATTCATATAAGTACATGTTTTACTACCAACACAATGTTATGGGTGAGCCAGCTGACCGACCCAAGATGGCCGGATGGTCTGTTTCACTGAGTTAAACATCTTATTTTTGTCACTAATTCATCCTCCACCCTCCATATTTAATAGTTTATATTTGTTGTTGTTTGCTTTCTTTCCCGTGTAGGAAAAGGAGGCTGCACATGGTCAACAACAACAACTGTTTTTGCATCCATATCTGCTGTTTTCCTGCTGATCATCATCCTCGCTGTCCTCTACATCAGGTGAGCGGTTCAGCTTCACTGTGATTGGCGGCTCGTCGTGGCTCAGGGGGTAGAGCGGGTGTGCTGGTAGGTGAAGGTTGGAGGTTCGAGTCCCGGCTGCCCCATGTCTCAAGTCAAAGTGTCCCTGAGCAAAACACCTAACCCTACTTTCTCCCTGGGCCAAACGTAAAAAGCCGTGGGTTTAAAGTGAGTGAGTCGCTCTGGATAAAAGCGTGTGCTACATGACTGTAATGTGATAAAATGCAGATGTGGATCTTACATTCACACAGTCGTTGAATCACTTGATTTGATCATTGATTTGTTTGCTCATTTATTCTTCTGTGAGGAAGAATGATAAAGCAGAGGGACCAGAGAATAACGCTCAGGTGAGGAGGAAGAGCTCAGTGTGGAGGCCTGTTAGAACCTTCATCATATCATGAATAACTTCAATATTAATCCTGTTAGTCTCCAAAAGGTCAAACTATATCCACGTACACTCTGGTTGTACTTAATGTTCTTAATGAATCTGTGTGCGTGTCCTTCTTGTACACAGCGTGCACAGTATCCACAGACACACGATGACAGTTTGTAGATGGAACTTCATTAACCTCAATGACCTTAATTACAACCATTAAACACATGAGACCTCCATGAGAACCTGTAGGGCCCAAAGGAGTCATTAGAGAACAAGCCCTGCAGATATTCTACTATCTGGTCCTTTGTACTTCAGTCCAACAATACTATCCAATAAGTACTTCTTGTTCTTTGATGCAGATCCCACTGACCAACGCTGGACACCAGGAGGAAGAGGAGAAAATGGAGATGGTGCCGTCCACATGTATCCACTTTGATGAAGGCAGCGAGTGACAATCTTTACTGAATATGGATCCGTCTCTGCTTTTATCATCACTGTTTTATTGCTGTTTAAACGTGTTAATGATTCATTTAGTGAGTTTACGGTTCTTTCACTGACGGAGATGTGAAGGAGCTGTGGATGATTCTTAAGCTCTTGATTTTTTGATTTCTTTCGATTCTCTCGATTCTCGATTCAGAAAAGTTAATAATCGGAAAAAAATATTTTAAAAAAGTCTGTCTCGCGCAAGATATTTGCTCGCTCGCGGAGCGTGAACTTCCTCGCTCGCGGGTTAATCTCTGCTCGCGCTCGAAGGTGTTTTCTACGCGCTCGCTGTTGTTCTTTCTGACAGTAAGGGGGCGGAGCCAGTCACCATGGTCTCTACACCTGATTGGTTACAAACCGCGTCCTTGGATTGGCTGGAGTGATGCATCCACACAACTATAGAAGAACATTTCTGCACTAAAGAAATGATGAGATAAAAGGTTTTCAAGAAACAAACGCCCCCCTTGGGTAACCGTAGTGGACCGTAGACGACAACCAGCTACAACCGTCATTTACCATCATTACCGGCACATTAAGACCAATGCGTCCAGCTCGCAGACCGGTCCGTCAGTCTGAATCTGAATATCTTGCCAACTTTACCCAACTATGGAGGAGCCTGCGCAGATCTTACCTCATTTTGATTTTCCAAAAAGTCGATCCGTATTGAAAGTTAGCAAGATTTTCACAGATTTGGACTTTTTTTCCGGTATTTTACAAATACGGACCGGTCTGAGACTAAGAGCAGCTTTTTCTTCATTTAAAAGAAAAAGTTTAGAAGTAGTTTAGAATCGATAATCGGATTAGAATCGAATCGTTGACGTCTGAATCGAATCGAATCGTGAGGTGCCAAGAGATTCCCACCCCTACTGTCAGCAATGAACCCACACAGATATGTGGTCTGTTACTGTACAGAGTTTAAGCAGCTTAAACACACCTGCATGAATATGAGGTTTGACATGTTGTATATTCACCATCGTTAAGGCTTCCATCAGAGAAGCATCAGGGAGCCAATGGGAGGCCAGCTTGTAGTCTGTAATCAGCCTTTAAATGTTACTAATCAGCAATATGTTACTACCAGTTCTATACAAGCGTCTTCAGGTACATTTATCTGTAAATAGTCTTTACCAATATTGCCAATATGCTTCTATTGATTCATCATTTTGACTGAAGTCGCATCACAAGTTGAGAACTTGGCTCAACTTAAAGTGGCTGAATTTGACTATCAGAGTGTTAACAATAGTCCAAAATAGACCCTTTAAATTGACATGCAAAATATGGAAATCACCACATGTTTCTCTAATTTTGGAGCAGATGTGTAACAGATGTGTTGTGGGAGATTACCACTGGTAGTAAAGCTCAGTCACAAAGGAAGTGGCTTAACATGAATTATACTATGGTTATTTAACCAGAATGTGTATTTTAAACAAGCTACATGATATATTTTTAACTGTTTGGGCTTCATGCATCTATAAAAACATAGTAAACATAGTAGCTGCAAGCTGCACTATTTGTTTTAACGTAAGTTCAAAAACATTTACTTCCTATGTGAGTTTTATGCCTAATAAATGTATCATTTGATGTTGTTGTTTCTTCTCTGCAGTGACCAGCAGGGGGCGACTCCTCTGCTCCCATAGACGTTGTAACATTGTAAACATGAGTTTGTGGTCTCAGTCTCTAGTTTCAAGTCTTCTTCAATGCAGCAGGATTGTCGTGAACCGGGTTTTCTCCTCTTTTCCTTTCCAACCCTTTTTTCTCACAAACACACACACACAGACACACACACACACACACTTAGACCTGCTCATTCATTCCCAGCTGCTTCTCATCTCGTCATCCTCTCTTCCCCTCACCTCTTCCTACCTTCTGCAATTAGACTCTCTATTTCTAGCCTGCCTCTTCCCCTTGTTCTCTGCCAGAGTATTGACTATGCACCGACGTACCTGTACCTGCTGTCTCGTTTCTCCTGCCCTGCCTTGTCGTGTTCGTGCCTTACGGCGTGGCCCGAGTCCAAACCTCTGTTCCACCCAGCCTCCCGTATGACGTGGGCGGCCTGCTGTCTGGAGTGCTCTACCTTCGCCCTGGAGCTCGTTTTCTGCACTCTCCGGCCAAGCGCCCGCACCTCTCCTTTGGTGCCATTTTGTTTTTGGGCATTCCTGGCGCGTTTCCAACCAGGGGTACGGGTCGTGAAGAAGGTACTAAAAAAGAACATGAGGGAAGCTGGTCTTGGTGAAACGGAGAGTGAAGAAAAGGAAGATGGGGAGCCAAAGGAAAGAACGCTAAATGTAGTGATACGATTTGAAGGAAAAGGAGGAGTTCGGAAGATGGACCCATTAAAATTGACCAGGATAATGAGAGCACAAATATACAACATACAGTGAAATATGCAAGGGTCTTAGAATTAGTAGTAGAGAAAAAGGAAACGGAAACCATTCTGGTAAAATTTGATATAAAAGACGCCCCAACCGAACTGTATTTTGGATTTATTAAATATACACATTTAGTTCATACACATTGTTACGCACATTTGGGCATGTGCGTAACAATGAAGCCCAAGTGACAGTGGAGGCAGAAATGAATCATGGAATCAGGGTAAGGGCAGAAAAGGAGAAGCTGGTGACTGTTAGGTCTGTTGCGACCCCCGGGTGGTCTAGGGGTGAGGGGACCATAAACATATGGGCAGAACCTGGTCGGTTGTAAAAGGGTAGTGTTTATTGGGAACCAGAGGTAGACAGGCAGGTATCAACAAACAAAAGGAGGGTGGATGAGGGTGCTGTGAAAAGACAAACCAAGTTAAATAAAAGAGATCCCCAAAAGGAGGACTATGGCCGAATATACATTTAAACAAACGGTAGGCTCTTACCAAAAAACACAAGGACCACAGCACCCACTTCACCTATGAAGCTAACAGGCACAGAAACTACGTGTGGTGAATCAGTACCGACTCTTGCCCCAACTCCCCCCTTTTGTCAGCCCCGTGCTGGTAAAAACACACGAGAACCAAAACACAGTACTTTACTCAGTTGCACACAAATACACACACGGGAGGCACACAAGTCCACTGGCCATGACGAGCTGCCGCGGGGCCACTGGTGGGCTCTCCTTAAGAGCTGGAGGTAAGGCTGCGATGGAGACGTGCCATTGGGTGCGCTGGGACAGGGTGGACCAATGGGTGGAGCTGGAGTGAACCTGACAGAGCTCCACCGAAACCAGGAAGTAGGCGGGGCTTCAGTCCACAGGGCCGCACAGCCTACTTGGTACAGGAAAGACAAGACAGAAATACAGATTACGGTGACAGCCGTGACAGGTCGTAGTTAGAAACCACAAACCCTGCTGATTACACCAGAGAACAATCACAGCACGAGAAACCGACACTCAGTCGACTTGTAAGTTTTACTTGCTGCACGTGGAGCCCGGTCAAGAATCAAGAGTACAAGGCCCTTCACTCAATCACTGCCAACTCCGACTAGACTTCCCCATGCAGTCTCCTTTTATTGACATAGTGAACTATGTAAGCATGATGATTTGACACTTGTTTGTTAAAAAGGTCAGTAGTACAGCAGTAATAGCAAAAGGCATTGTACACCAAACTGGGTATGTGGACTCGAGGTTTAAAACAGCTTACACAGGTGAATGTATGTGTGTGTAAGGTAACGTATGAGTGTGTGCAAATGTGTCTTGGACTTTCTTCCTATATATTGAGTTGCTTTTCAGTCTGGTGGAGAAAATACAGTTGAGTCCACCGTTTTCTGTTCTAACGCAATTAAACCACGACAATGAAACAGTATATTGCGTGGATAATAGCACAATAAGCATTATTCCCTAACATTCCCCCCTTTTTATCATTTATCATTTACTGTTCATACATCAGTTAAACATCTCTTAAGTTTCCTATTTTCGATGTCCACATCATTCGGAACAGTGGGGTTTGGTATCTGGGATCTACAAGGCGGACTCATTCGGATTCGTGCTGTTCTGCTGAGGAATATCATACACAGGGTGTGTGAAAGACGCCAATGAGGTATAATCGTCCTTCTCATCTTGCTGTAGCATCACATACGAGGAGATAGTGGCATTGACGGCTCAAGCAATCGGCACTCGGCTTTCAGGGTTTGCTGTGTTGCATTCACGGTGGCAGGGTCGTTTCCAGGAGAGCATCTGAACTGGGGTTCTTGGAGAACAACAGATGCAATTGTTGCCTATGTCACTTCTGGTAACCTCCGAAACACATGTGCATCAAGGTCGCATTGTAATGCAAACATTGACATCCAGGCATGAAAATCCCTCACCTTTCGGCGAAATTCGCCGTTTTGAAACGAAAATATGTGACTGTAGTGGCGGGCGTGGTTTTGGCTCGTCTGCAGCGGGAGAGAGGGGGGAGTGGCTCAGGGAACGGTGCCAGGTGGGAGCAATTGGGATCAGCACAGCTGATGCTAGTCTAACCATGTGTTCATGTCTTTTTAAGAGCAGTGAGGGCGGCGGCGAGGGAGCGAGAGACGAGGAGACTTCACTGCTCTGGGTGTGAAACTTTCAAATAAAAACTGTTTATTGCACCCAACCCTGCCGTGTCGTGCTGACTCTGTGCCCCCGAGTACCTACGTCGTGACAGTGGCGCCCAACGAGGGACGGGGGACGGCGAGATGACCGACGAGCAGCAGCAGGGGGTGCCGACCCAGCCGATCTTGGCGCTGGGTCGGATGATCGGCGAGCTGGCGGTCATCCAGCGGGACCAGGCAGAGGCCAATCGGCAGTTCCTGGGGGCGCTCCAAGCCCAGGTGGGACGACAGGCCCAGGCTCTGGAGCGACTGACGGCGCGACTGGCCGACGCTCAGCCAACGCCCGGGCCCGCGGCGCTGGCCGGACTGGCGCTCCATTGCATGACGGCGGAGGATGATGCGCAGTCCTTTTTGGAGGCCTTTGAGGCGATGGCGGAGGCGTGCAGCTGGCCGGCGGAGGAGTGGTCGGTCCGGCTTTTGCCTCTCTTGTCCGGGGAGGCGCAGACGGCGGCCATGGGGCTGCCACTGGCGGCCCGGCGGAACTACGCATCCGTGCGTAAGACGGTCGTCGACAGGCTGGGGCTGCTGCCAGAGGACCACCGCCGGCGGTTTCGGCAGACCAGGTTGGAGCCAGGTGACCGGCCGTTCGCGTACGGGCAGCGGCTCAAAGACGCCGCGAACAGATGGCTGCTGCCTAACGGCGATGAGGGGATGGAGGCCGTGTTGGAGAGGGTGGTGTTGGAGCAGTTTGCGGAGGGGCTCAGCGGTGACGCGAGGTCGTCCGACGCTGCAGACGGGAGGGCGAGTCAGCGGAGCCTCTCGTAGAGACTCCGCCGGCTCCCGGGTTTCGCTCCATGGAAGATTTTCTACTCTAGCAGTCTCGTGACGATACGCTCAGCTTACGACCAAGTGATTAGGATTGATGGTCAGTTGGTGCGCCCTGACGCGGCGCAATCATATCCGCACTTTTCTTTGATTAGGGACAGACTGTATAGAGTGAGTCGTGACACTCTGACGGAGCAGGAAAACACCCAGTTGCTGGTGCCGAAAAGCCGTCGGGAAATGATTTTCCAGGCGGCTCATTATAACCCGATGGCGGGGCATATGGGATACGAAAAAACGCTAGACCGGATAATGACCCAATTTTATTGGCCAGGCATCCGGGGGGACGTGCGCCGCCGGTGCGCGTCCTGCCTGGAGTGTCAGTTAGTAAACGCTCCGGCCATCCCGAGGGCGCCGTTGCGTCCTCTGCCGTTGGTGGAGGTTCCGTTCGAGCGGATCGGTGTGGACCTCATCCCACAGCGCCTGGTGTAGCCCCATCGTTCTTGTGCCTAAGAAAGATGGGTCGGTGCGGTTCTGTGTGGACTATCGCAGGGTGAATAATGTGTCACGGTTTGATGCCTACCCGATGCCCCGGGTCGACGAACTCCTGGACCGGCTGGGCTCTGCGCGTTTCTTTACGACACTGGATTTAACCAAGGGCTACTGGCAGATTCCTCTGTCTCCAGAGTCCAAGGAAAAAACGGCGTTCTCCACTCCGTATGGGTTATACCAATTTACCACACTTCCCTTTGGCTTGTTCGGTGCCCCGGCCACGTTCCAGCGTCTCATGGATCGGATGCTGCGTCCCCACGCTGCATATGCTGCCGCCTACTTGGATGACGTCATTATCCACAGCACCACCTGGGCGGAGCATGTGCGGCGGGTGGGCGCGGTGCTGGAGTCCCTGAGACGGGCGGGGCTCACCGCCAACCCGGGGAAGTGTGCAGTTGGACGGAGGGAGGTACGGTATCTGGGGTACCACTTGGGGGGCGGGCAGGTGCGTCCTCAGGTAGACAAGACTAGAGGTGAGGCGGTTCTTGGGGCTGGCGGGGTATTACAGGCGGTTCATTCCCGGCTTCGCAGACCTCACTAGCCCCTTGACCGACCTGACCCGGAGAGGTGCGTCAGATCCGGTCCAGTGGTCGGAGCAGTGACAGCAGGCGTTTGAGAAGGTGAAACAGACTCTTTGTGGGGAACCACTCCTCCATACCACTGACTTTTCTTTTCCCTTCACTCTGCAGACTGACGCATCGGACAGAGGGCTGGGGGCCGTTTTGTCCCAGGAGGTGGAGGGGGGTCCACCGCCCAGTCTTATACATCAGCCGGAAGCTGTCCGAAAGGGAGGCCAGGTACAGCACGGTGGAAAAGGAGTGCCTGGCCATCCGGTGGGCGGTGGACTCCCTGCGCTACTACCTCCTGGGACGCTCTTTCACCCTCTGTTCGGACCACGCCCCGCTCCAATGGATCCACCGCATGAAGAATACCAACGCCCGGATCACCCGGTGGTATCTGGCGCTACAGCCTTTTAACTTCAGAGTGAGCCATAGGCCGGGGGCGCAGATGGTCGTGGCAGACTTCCTCTCCCGCCCTCTTGAGGGGGGGGGGGGGATAAGAGTAAAAACATACAGAATGTCTCAGCTCGACTGCGTGGGAGTGACCAGCGGCCTCGAGAGCCGATTTGCCGGATACTGATGTGGAGGTTGGCGGCTGGGGGGCCTCAACTCAGGCAAAGTTATTCTTGAGGAAGTTGATGAGTCCGTTGGTGGGAGGAGTCGTTTTAGTGGACCTCTGCGGTGTCCTGGAGATCAGCCTCAATCATCTTGACGAGCTGTTTGCCCGCCTCGACCCTTATAATTACGGCGTGGTACGATAGAGGCGACGTGTTCAGTGATCCAACACAACCAACTACGCGGATACATATGTCCTTCTATTACTCATGATAAC